TTCATTGCTTTGGCTGAGTGAAGAGGCCAAGAGAGTTCCTCAACCTCCAAGCTTTTTGTGCCAATCCATCCCAACCAGCAAAAGTCCACCTGTACATCTGCCACATGGATTCAGTTTAGTAGCACCTACATCATTTCAGCACTTCACCCCAAATAATCCCACCATACATCCTGTTGTTTCTACTAAGATTTTACATGCGAAAGTCTTACTGAAGAGATGCAAGTGCTGCCCAAGTAAGGGCTAAGTAAAATACAAAAAGGGGTAGACTCCAAAGTGGCATTTTAGAGATACGCATATGCATCACTGCTAAATGCACCTTCTACCTGAGGTGCTAAACCTGTTCCCCTAAAGGAGGGGATGTGCAAATATCTGCACAGCAGAAACAGAAAAGTGAAAAATACAAATAACATTAATGACACTCTTCACAAAATGACCCCTATTTAATATAGGGCAGGACCCATGTATAAGAATTCAAGCACTCTGCAATAAATGGCAGTGCCATACTGATGTATGTGTTTATGGGTGGCAGAGACCAAGAATGAAAGGCAGCTATTTGTCTGGGAGCTCATGGGAAAAGATGCCATATCATACACAGTCCTACATCCTTCAGACTTGTCTCTACCTTCCCTTATCACTTATATTGCTGTCACTGTACTTTCATACATAAGCAAATGTTCACAGGGGCTGAATCCACTGAATATCTTTTTTTAAAAATGGAGTAATGATTTCTAGAAAATTAGAAAAATACCAATTCCTTATTTTAGGATCAAAAGAAGAAATATGACAAATGAGGACGTTCAGTTAACAACCTCAGATTGTACTAATATTTTCTCATGATAAAGTGATTAATTTTAATGGTGTTCCAATTTAAGTAGACTTGTGAATCTGCAGAATCCTTCTAATTCTGACGAAGTAATATGTAAAGTATGTGCACTAAGAATAATACCGTAGATTTTAATCCCATTCAAAATCTTTCAAACTTGCTGTTTTTAATAACAAAACTACAGAGTAACTATAGGCCGAATGCATGCTGCGCTGATGCTTGCCTGACCCTGCAAACAACTGCAGTCACTGGGATTCACACCAGTGACAACTGAGAGAGCAGAATAAAGCCTAATGTCTAATCCTAAGGAAGCTGCAGATGAGTAGGCCAGCAAACAACTTTGATCCTAGATCTGCGGATGCTAACATCAAAAAAGGTACCTTCACAAATCTGTGGAAAGCCAAGAAATGTAAATAGTTCTCAAACACAGACATATAAACAATATTGCTTTCTCTATATTCACTTCATACTGCCTCTTTCATGAAAGTGGAGTATCTGTATAAAGGGACAACTGCAAAACAAAATTGGATCTAGAAAGAGAGAAATTTTGGTTAAAGACTGAGTCCAGTGAATTGCTGGGACTTCTCTGTTTCATTCCCAATGAGATTATGGGGACCAAAAATGCTCAGAGGCAGAACATAAACCAGACTGGCACAACACTGCAACACAAGCACCGTGAGAACTTCTCAGGAGGCCGACAGCTGGTCTTAGCTGTAGGTACTTTCGCGTGATTTCTAAACCCAGAAAGAGTATCCACATCTCCGATATTTGCTTTTTCTTGAGTATTTTTTAATGGATGAATAGAAATGCTAGCTGCTTGAGCTCACTATAAACACTAACCTGCAGTTGAATAGTTTGTCCTTCCTCATCAGTTACAGAGAGTGGATAGTCATGAGCCGTGTTTTAGGGCAGACAAATTGGGCTGTCAGTTCTAATGTGTGAACTGGGCTATCAGGCCACATTTTGGTTAGGAGGAAAGAGGCCTACTTATGAACACCAACAACACTTAGAGATTAGTTTCTATTGTTTCCAAGGAGATTTAACAGGTCCCAGTATATATTAAACCAAGCACACACTGAATGAAAGAAAGAAAAGGAGAGCAGGGGGGAAGGATGAAATAGAAGGGAGGGGAAGGGAGAAATTGAAGGTGGGAAGAAAAGGGGGGAAAGGTGTGGAAAGGGAAGAAAGAGGGGAGAAAAGGAAGAAAGGAGGGAAAAGAAGAGGAAAAGAGACACTTCGAAAAAAATATCTGCGCTAGAAACCAAACTCCCTCATAATACACTGAAACATAGAAAAGGATTGATATTCAGAAGAGACTTCAACAGAAGACGTACTGTGTTATCTCTTGATATTATAACAGAGGAGCTTTGTTTAATATCCTGCATTAATGAAGGAGCTCCTTAAGTGTAATATTACAATAGAGAGCGTAAGAAATATCGCTGAGGTCAACGCTGCTCTATTAACTGTCATCCTGTACAGAAATATTTTCTTTGAATACCATTAATGCTTTCTCCTTCCCTTTGTTCTAATTTCTGAAGGCAGCGAAAACTAAAACTTCCTCCACAATAATTTCTGCTTTCTTCTTGGCAGACTAATGGTATTAGACTTGTGAGAGAAATTTACCTTGGCAATGTCTTATGCACAGGTCTTTTCAAAGGAGATGTTGTTAGGAGGAATCCTATTAAGCAGGCTTTTTCGCTAGCCTCAAAACATAGGTGATAACGCATTTTTAGTTATAAAGAGGATTGCTTAGTTTTATTTATTATTTTGAGAGAGAATCCATTAATCCGGTCCTGTGCATATCATGCATCTCTTTACGTAAGAGTAAACTCAAGCTGCCTATTCTCCTTGCTGTATCGGATTCATTTTCATAGATTGTCAAGACCAGAAAGGATCAATATGATAATTTAATCTGATCTGCTGCTTAACACAAGCCAAAGCTGTTCATACAGTAATCTTTGCATAATAAACTCAGTAATTTATGCTTTAAAATACACATACCTCTTTAAAAAAAAAGTATTCTTACATTTCAATTAATAAAATCTCTCAAAGCGTGAAGCAAAAATATTTTACAGAACCCAAATTTTAGCATGTTAAGAAAAAGTTTAACTAATGCGTAATAATCCTCTGGTTCATTACAGTACTGTGACCATCTAAAATGCTCAAGCATTTTAAAAACTCTCAGTAATTGCTTTTATTCAGATCAGTGCTGAAGGAAAAAGCTTAAAATACAGAATTTCTTTACACAGAAGGCAGATTCTGCCTACTGCCTTAACACTGCCCTAGGGATGCTGAAGTCACTTTGAGGGACTGTATGAAACCTTTTAAAAAAAACCAAGCAAACTAATAAATGAGAAATGTTAAGGGCTACTCAGTGAGGAGTGCATGCACAACATGCTAACTGCACTACTATGATGGGAAGGGTTACACTGAAGTCAGCATTGCCAGATGATGAGCTTGGAGAGTTTCTATTCATTTTTAGAGCCTGAATGTCTGCTAACATACTAGCAACAGTAAAGATTCACAGACACGGAAAGGTATATTGCTGATTTCCCCATAGCACAGATTGCTAAACCTGCCAAATGAACAGCAATCTAACGTAGCTCCACCAGCTTCCATTAATACTAGGTGAGGATCTGGCCTCCCATTTTTAATAGCTGGACTAATTAAGCTGGAATTCTGTCACTCTCTCTATTCTAACTGGGTACAAAGTGGTTGACGATAATTTTAAAAGGCTGTCCTTTACCAGAAGGAAAATACAAACATACTTAATGTGAAGCAACCCAAATTTTCTGCCATTTCTTTATGGTATAATTTACTTTTCAAATAAACTTAGATTTGTTTCCTTATGTATCACACACTTCGGAACTACGCTTTCTGAAATAACAAGCAATGCAGATCAGCCACTGCAAACAACCCATAAAGAATTCTGAAAACATCCAGATATCAGAGGAGAGAGATATATGTGAGATGTTTCGGTGTCAACAGTCCTGTAAGAAGTATGAACTAGCACTGTTCAGAACTGTAAGAGCTAAGACAGGATACAATATTTCAGATGGTCTAAAAGCTGTGTTAGTGCCACTCGCTAGGTTCCCCTCTGAACTGTAATTTTTAACCTTGTTACAATATAGGGACAGATAAAACTGAGGCTATGGCTTTGTCTCCACTGAGAAAACTGGAACATATGGACTAACCTCTTGAAAAAATAGTTATATGAATGCTGCTTCTGAAACAAAAAGTAATTGTGGAATAATTACTCCAGTGGAATTATTTCACGTGGGCGGCTATTCTAAGCAAGATCTGCAGTATAATAAACTTGGAATAATATCTTTTACCACAGACACATGATAGTAAGTAGCCCCACAGATAGTACTAATAGAAGATGAAGTCAAATTCAACCAGACCAACTAGCAATAGGAAAAAAAAGAAAAAAAAAGTCAGATATGTACGCATGATTTCCCATATCAATTTATGCAGTTTAATATCCAATTTTCCTTCTTAGAAAAGAAAAAAAAATCAACCTCTTTTTCTCACTCCAACTAGCTATATAAAAAGGAAAATAAAACACCTGATCTTGCACATGAACACAGATTTAATTCTACCACCTGAAGCAAACTAATCACCGGCTTCCAAAGTGTTTGAAAAGCCAAACTTAAAAGACTGATTATAAACCAGTAGAACTGAAAACTAGAGAATGTCTTAAAGCAGTCATTTTTAAAAAGGGCAAATTGTTGTTTCCTGCCCCCTGTTAGCAACTGCAATATTACTGAAAGAAATCAAGAGGGATACATTTGAAAAGTTTCTCTCTAGACTACACAAGAATCTTCATGTTGTTTCATCTGTTCTTGTGAATCTGAGAGAATCCACCAAAACATAAGTACAGCCAAAGAAACTGTATTTCAGGAGAAGAACCAATTATGGTCCTTGAAAATCTGACTTTTCATAATACTGACACACAGAATTAGAAAAATGTAAATTTTTTTCTTTGAATAAAGTGTATTCTGCTATGTGGCTAATAACCATTACTGAGTAAAGTACATGAAAATGTGACACCCTCATATTCATCACGTGCTTAAAAGTTCATCAGCATCTGCTGAATGCTTCAGTATGAAGCGTAACACACACTGAAAAAACCTCCATACACCTAGACTTATGTTATCAAGTAACAGTCCATAGGCTAAACCAAAATAAAGTGTTCCTCTGGATCAGTCTGTAGTAACTTTCTTGTGCTACTCTGCAACAGGAGAGGCAGACAGGAGGCAGGACTTCAATTCCATGCCAGCTCAGCCCAGTATGACATTGCTTTATCCTTCCTTCTTCAGCTTCTGGCCCACGACTTACAAAATTGTTAAGAACCTTCATCTAGGTGTTGCTGGCTATGCCCCATCAATATCCTTGAGAATACGTGCAGAAATTCCCCACTCCAGCCTGTATTACATGTGACAAGAGATCCAATTCCCTCCCAGGGTTTGACCCCAAGACACAGCCCCAAATTTCTAACGTTAGGTCTCTCACAGAAACACTGGATGCTGGATGAAAAGCACCATTATCTTCCCACAATAAATGATATAACATGCAGCTGTCATAAGAGAAGCCACTCTATATTTGCTGTAAGTGGTTTTCGGACCTTGTCCTAAAAGCTAAAATAAAACTCAGGATATTTTTTTCCAGGCACTGAGATTTCTATCATGAATTTTATATGACAATTCACAAAATGACAATGTAATAAAAAGTGCTTCCAAATGTGAAGGGAAGCGCAACGTCTGATAATTGTTTCACTTAGGATTACGTTTAAAAACTGTTTGTTAAGGAAAATTTCTAGAAGAAAACTCCCCACTAACAGGATAAGATTTCTGGAGAAGATGCACACTGGCAGGTGTGCAGAAGTTCTTGTAAAGAATATGATACTCCTCTCAAAGCTGCTTAAACTTGATTTTATTTCAGGTCTGCAACTAAATTTTTTTGTAAATAGATTTAGGCTGTCAATTTCCAGGCATGCTGTGCCATCAGCATGTAGAGACTGCTGTGACAAACGTGGAGGCTGCAGCAGCAAATTTTATTATAAACTGGTAATTGAATTGAACAGGTTTACATTTGAATAGATTTACTGCAGCATGATCTCTGACATGCTGCATGGGACTGAAATCCTTGTCTGTACATAAAGAAACATTTAAAATACAGCAGGAA